TTTTTTTTTTTTTTTTTTTTTTTTTTTTTTTGCCCTTCGAGGCAAGAACGTCAAACCTGGTTGACCTGACTCTTTTCCATGAACCCCAGGCTCTCACTTCAAAAATTTATTAGTTTTGTCATTACTGAGGTTCTGACTGGAGACTGCCATGGAGACTGCCATATAGTTCAATTAATATTTAAGTTATTATTTAACATCTGCTTTAGATGAGCATGATCTTCTGCCTGAAGATAAATAGTTGCATTCGCTTAAGACTAAAAATACTCACAGATTGATACAAGCTACTTGTGAGCCATTTTCTAAAACAAATTTATAGGCACAGGTAAATACTGTGATTTCTCTTTCAATAGCATATGAGTATATCAAATTTTTTTGTCCATTTTCCATGCGAAGAATTTCTTCTAGAATATAAAATGTAAACATTTCAGATAATTCTTGCTTATAGTTGATAAACAGACAGAACTACATCCCACATTTTGCACCCAAGTAAGATTATCAGACATTTCTAGAAGCAGGATTTAGTTAGTACCTCGTCTCTTGAAAATGACGATAGTATTGGTATAAGAATAGAAGCATCCTGTCAAGGAAAAAATAGTAGTCCGATGATGACAAAAATATCATAAATTTACTTGCAATGATCTGATAAAAGAACAAAAATATATGCTGGTAAAGAACCTTTAGTTTCGTATCATATAATCGTTTGACAGTGGCCACTAGATCAGGTGGAGGCGTCTTGCCTTCAGACAAAAGATGAAGCACCTTCAGTTACAACAATAAGCTGTCAGGTTACAAGGAAACCAGGCCTGGAAATGTTCAAAGAAATGTAAACTATGAAGTTTAAAGAAAACTACCTGTGTCAATAGCAGTTCACTTCCCTGGGGTGGATCAGATATTATCTGTAGCAGTTCGGAATATGATGACCCCAAAGCCCTTATAAGAACAGGGGTATGACGATGAACGGCCTACAGCAGCAACACAAATTTATAAAGCTGGAAGAAGCAGGTAACCAAACTAAAAGCAGTACAAAACATGTAGATTACAAAGGAAGTGTCTCTTTCCTGATAAGCAAAGTAGTTATCAAACAGATGTCTACATATTAGACCCTTGGTTATCAGTATCCCTGTAGAGGCTAAACATACTCTTGTCCTTAAATAATTTCCAGCAGAAACCCAAAAACCTAAGCCATTTTTATTTTTATGGCACAAAAAATAAAGATTTTGATATCAAAATTGTCAAACTTGGTAGCTTCAATGCCACACAAGAAGATGAAAGAGAGCAGTGGCAGGCTGACATGAAGACCTGCGCCATGTAGCAGGTGCCCAAGTATTCAGCATGTTTCTAAATGTAAACCATGACCTAAATTACAACAAAAAGATGGATTATCTCAAAATTGTTAAACAATGGTATAAACCAGATCATTCTTAGCCAGGAGACATTAGAATTTTGCATTCCAGCATTTTTTTATTGCATTGAGTACGAAAGAGAATTTAGTGACAAGTGTCGATCATTCCTAAACAATTAAGGAAAATTAATGGAGAATCCAGTGGTAAAACTTTGATTGCTCACATCTGTAACATGCTATGAGTTACTAATAGGTCCGCACTCTGATTCAATTGAGGAAACATCAATCTTTAGAACTCCAAACACAAGCAACCTCAAGTGTAAATCATGCCAGAAATGAGGCACAAAACATGCAAAACATGTTTCACCCATTACATCCTCCAGTGATAACAGTTTAAGTGGCTTTCAAGAAGAGTAGTAGAAAAAAGGGCAGCAAAGATAAAACATATAAAAAAAGTATTTAGAGTAGACAACACTGACAAATGTAACTATTATGGAGAGTACTTTAGAGCAATAATGAAAAATTTCAGAGTACTAAGAATAAACAAAATAACAGAGAGAGACCTGCTTAACAGCCTTCGGTGCACGGGCATAATTATCAAACACAAGTTGAAGAAGGCTTGGTTTCTGCAGGAGAGAAAAAGTCAGACAAAGAAGTGAGTGATAAAGCAGGAGTGTACAGATCTCTTTTCTTCACTAATCACATGAACACATGCCCACCAACCTTTGCACATAATGCAAAAAACAATGAGAGAAGTTGCTGTGATTGAGAAAATGAAATTGCTGAATCAGATGTTGAGTCATCTTCTGCAACCTTAATGGTGTCATTTTCTGAAATTCCAGGATCTGAAATTTGAGAACCACTTACAGATGTTTCTTGGCTTCCCACCTGAAAAGATATTTTTACAGAGGAATAAGTGCTTGCTATAATCAATGAGGTTCAGCCATATGCACCAAAAAAGAGACAAAATCAAATAATAGCAAGCAACTTGTTTTATGCATAACATGGATGATGTGCCAAACTCACATATATAGGTGAATGCATGAAACATTTTATGGGATTATCTGAAATGCCTTGATCAAGAAAATAAGCAGCTTGAATAATTTGAAATACTGAGAAGGAAGCCCGCTTTGTAACATGTCTCACACAGAAAAATGTGCTGGCCATACCTGTGAGAATTTGATGAACCCTGGGGACCTCTCATGATCAAACATTAACTGTAATTCAATCCAATAATATATGCAAGCATCATATGGTGTTGATAACAGCCTAAAATGCAGTAACTGGATGTTTGGGATAAGTACAAGGCAATACAATGAACACGTGAATTATAAAAATTGATTTATGTAGATAGTTCATTCTTGTAAATAAGCAATGGATGCTCCAGTAAACACAGCAAAATCCGAGAAGTCACATCAACCGCAGATAATTCATTCATATATTTCCATCAATTGAGAACAACAGATTTTCAGTAAGTACAATGAATAGCCGCTACAAAATAACATGGGAAAAAAAAAATCCCTTTGTCTTCCTCCNAAGTCTTTTCAAATGAATTAGTTTTAAGATAAATTCCTTCGTTTAATTTTACTTACCTAAATATAGTCGGGAAAATAATAAAATTAACACGAGTCATAGTCCAAGAATATTACCAAAACTAATATTGTAACCATATAAAAGTCCAATAGGATAAGAAAACAACCCAAAAGGTGTGACATCAAAATCATCACCAATTAATCAACATGAAAGCAAATTGAAATGTCAAATTGCATTTCTTTTGAAGTATCAAAACAGCATTGACAGAGCAAAGCGAAGGATGAGTTAAGAACAAACAAGGGAAAGAGCTTTAAGGATCCTTTCCAATCCAATCAAACTCTAAACTCAAGCTCCAGCTCAAGCTCAAACTCAGGGACACAATATCATAAGCAGTGAGTTCGTGACTACTCTTCATTGTTAAGGGCACAACAGTAACATGCTGGAGAAAAATAAGAATGAAGAAATGGCGAAAGTAAAAATAATCTCGAAGTTAAAGGAATACTACAAGACAAGCAGCAAAATATAAGTATGTCACTAACCTGTCCTATTCTTTGTTTGTAGGATACAGATTGTGAAAGCCCTGTCTCTGAAGTGTGCTGTTCTACAGCCAACAAGAACTTATTTGTGGAAAATTGCTCGATGCGTTCAGCAACATTGCTCATCGCATAAAGTTTGTTAGCCACCTGGAAAAAGCACAGAAACACAAGTCAAAAGGTTTTAGAACAGAAACAATAACTTTAAACCATAGTCTCCTTACTCAGACAAACAGTCCATTAAAGAGGCAACCCCAAAAAGCGACTTGGAACCCTGTGGACAACACAGAAAGGTGAAATAGTACAAAATTTCCATACCAGTCGGATAGCTCTTGCTCGTACATCATCCAGTGAGTGAACAGCACACTGCCATGTGGAATTACATTAGAAAGGGAACTACACATTGCTGCAACAGAGAAGATTCAAAACTGACAATACGAAGCCAGCATTGCTTCTATTCCATGCATTTTGCACATAAGAAAGTTAATGATATTTCTATCATTTTTTTCCAAAGTTGGCTTTTAACAAGTAAATTGCAACTTATGGGTCTGATAGACATGATATTTTCAAAGAAAAGAGGCGATGAAAAAAGAATAAAATTGAAGAAACTGTTACACTGTCAAGAATATAATGCTAGGTTAATAAATATATGTTTCCTCATTAGAATAGCAAAATGCTTGCAAGTTAAGCAATTAGTGATAAACGCAGTGTACAGAGAAAACCTTCAGCATAATTTATAACGTATTCACAATTGACAGTGTTGTTGATACCAAGCAAAAATGTATCTAAACCCTTGTTTGATTCCCATTATTTTCAAAATACATTTTTCTCTCTTCTTTTCAACCACACATTCGTCAATAAAATAATATTACATACAAATCCAAAACTTTTCCTTATTTTTTAACCACACATTCTACGTCAATCTACAATTCTAAAATGCAGTCTTACAATAAAATGGGGCTCAAACAGGCTCTGATT